TGTCACTCCATCCCAGCATGCATCTCTCTTGAATGTCTTGTGAATGTTCTCGCTCCTACTCTTCCTCCTCTTCCTCTCTTCCCCGTTTAAGGTCAACCCCAGTAGCGGCCTGTGTGATGTGCTCCACCTCCTGTCCATGCTACCACCAGTGTGACTTCTTCCTTTATTCCATGCATCTATTGCATCCCTCGTTACCCGCCACTTCTCTGCCTACTGTGCCCTCCCCCCCCCTCTTCATCCATCCATCCATCCCTTCATGCACCAAACCTCTCCCATAATCCTCCCACTGGAAACAACGTCATGTGTAGGGGAGCTTATAGACGCCCTAGTCTGTCTAGACGGGCTCTAGTGCTGGGGGTAAAGGGTGAGTCACATCATTGTCCCCTTGTTGATGTTCTTCATCGTTTTCCCATTCATCTTTTCACTTACTGACCAAAGCTGATTGTTTTCTTGTGAAACTGATGCCATTGCCATCATACAGTACACTGACTTTTTTTTTTTTATATCCTTTGCCGCCCTCCAGAGGTGGGGAACGGAGTTGGCAGTGCTGATGAGCTGTACGCGGACAATGGCTACGACTACTACACCAATCAGGGCATTAGCCAGTGATTGTGACTCAGCCTGTGTGAATCTGCTGTAGCAAGACGGAGACGACAACACTCTCGGTGTTCGCATCATTCCTGTTTTAGTGTCAGTGTGAAGTCTGTCCTCCTCTTCTGTCCTACTGATTAACTGACAGACTGCTGTATCCGACGGAGAAAACAACCACCCAGTTGCTTTTGTGTAAATTCTGTAAATAGTTTAGAGTTTTTTTTTTTTTTTTTGCTCGTCAGACATACTGTATATCACATGGGACTACATGCACTTTTTATTAATGGAATTCGCCAAATCCACGGCCTCCTTTCTCACATCTAAATGTCCGAGAGGCCCCTCTGAGTTACAAATGCCTGCTTCTTTATTAAAGATACGTTTCCAGATTCTTTATTATTTTAAGCTAATTTTCCAAAGCAGTTGCTTGTTTTTAACCACTGTACACGATGTTCTTCTCTTAGCAGACGAATTTCTTCTTAACGAGGCTTTTTACGAGGCTTTATTGCAGCATGAGACAAAACGCTAACAGCTCGTTGCGCTCCTGCCTTCTGTCAGCACTCCACTGTGCTGTTGTTCATAATAGTACTAATATTAATATTTATATTTAAAGAGAAAAACAAAAAACACAAACAAGCTGTTTACAGAAGTCCTGCCTTCTCCTCCAAGTGAAATATTCACATGGTGTATGTAAGATAATTATTTTGATAGAGGCTGAATGCCCCCCCTGTGCTCCAGTGCAGTACCAAGACGGAACTGGGTGGAAATGGTTATGGGGGGGTGAACATTTTGTGCTGTTCTTTTTATGTAATGTGAATGATGGTTTGGATTTTCTTTTTTTTTTTTTAAAGATGTGTACGGTGTATTGTGTGTGTATTCTGGCTGGGTACATCTTTTTTTTTTTACCCTGTGTGCAGTGCTATGTTGAATGTGTTACTGTACATAAAAGGTGAACCAATGTGTGAGATGCTCCAGCCAACTAATGTGACGGTGATGAACTGTTGAATAGCAATAGTATGGTCATGATTTTTCACTTCCTATTCGGCCTCTGAATTGCAGTTAAGTCTGTGGTATTTTAGTGTTAACATACACAATGCATCTACGTGTTGGTTGCTGGTGTAAAACTGAATGCTGTAAGGTTAATGAAGTGGGTGCTAAATGTGAAAATAAAGCTCTAAGCTAATTGAAGGGACGCTACAGGTATCACAAGAGGCAGCACGGGGTCAAGAAATGGATTGCCTTTTGTTTATTTTCTTTCTTTTGGTATTACTGTGCCTCAAAAGTAAACATTAAAAAAATCTTCTATCTATTCTAGCTGTGTTTTGTTCTGAAGAATCACAGGAAGCCGTTCTCATGGGAGATACAAGGTTTTCATGCTCAAGAAACTCTCCAGCCTTTTATACATTAACACGTTTGTAAGAGAATTTCTCTCAGCATTGTGTTTTTCCTTCTCCTGTCATCAGCGACGGTGTTCGGCCACATAAAACTAAAGTGTCAAGAAGAGTTATTAGTTGCCAGGAGGCTAAAATGTGCTACTGCAAATCTTAAAGGGACACGTCTGTTCAAGGTTACATTAGTCTTGCTCAGAGACACTATAACATGAAGAGCCAGGCATCGAACTGTTAATGCTAAAATTATTGAACAACCCACATACAGCTTATTTTATTTATTTATAGGTATCAATGCAAGGTGATATGGATCCCCCTTCTTCACTCTGAACTATCAAGTTAAATTACAGTCCTCAGACAAAAGAAAGTTTTGAAAAATAACCATAAAAGTTGGTAGTACCTCCCTTTACATGTTCTCAAGAACATCATTTCCAACCTCTGGAGGATCTTGATACAACATTTGATGTGTAAGTGAAGTACTTTGTGTAGGTGGGGTCATTGACTCTTCCTCAAAATAAACAGACAATGAAGAAGTTAGAAAATTGACATTTAATTGGTTGAAAGGTAGGTCATATCAGTTCTTCTTGTTTTTTTAAGGTGGCTAGAAATATAAAATAGTTTCATAGTTTTTCTCCCTATGTCAATAGGGACTGATGATTTACACAGTATCAAAGGCAAACCGCATCAAATTTGCTTCATTTTTACTAGAGGCTCGGTTACATCTTAGATCCCGTGTAAGAAAAACATAAAATAATTAAGTAAATAGTCATGTATGACATTTGGCAAGAATAAGTTGTGATGCTTTTAAAGGAATACAGGTAACTGGAGTTCATGGTTGAAAACATTGATATTGGACCGTTTTAACTTCAGAAACAGAAATGAACTTTAATGCTGGATGTACAATCACCAGCCTACTGTCCACCACACTAAGAGCAGGTGAACACACACACATTCTTCACACTAAATGACAACAAATCTCACCTCTCTACATTTCAGGCAACCACAAATACAACATCACATACACAAAGGCACCAGTAAGCAATGCTTTGGTCCTCCTGTGGGACTACCAGAGTTGACCTTCTCTACTACAGCAGCAAAAGCGGGTTGTTGTTCTTAACTCTTGATACGCAGCACAAATATCTTAAGCCGTTTAAATAAAGCATACACTATTGCACAAAAATGGAAAGTTGGCCAACAGGTGGAAGTCCTGAAAGTGCAGCACTGAGCACTTACAAACAATGCAGTCTGTATTTTATTCAAACAGAGGTGATGCAGATGATTCATGGTTTACAGTACTGTGTGAACATTAAGGCTTTCTATATCATGAACCTTCATCTTGAAATTAATTGTGTCCCCAGTGACCTCCAGTGGACATGAAATCACTTCTGGGACAGTATGCAATACAGTGCAGGGACCTGGACCAGGCCCTCTGGTGGAACCACTAGGGGGCAGTGGTTCACCTCTGCACTTCAAACAATATAGCAGCTTTCTGAACAGGCACAAACACACTGTATGTCAACCTTTGAAGGAAATGTGTAGAAATACATTAAAGGGCTTTCGAGACACACACACACAGACACACACAGTTGGTGGGAATAAATAAATAAATAGCTGAAGATTTACTGGTTATTCTTTTAGTCCTTAAAGTCCTGAACGCCATCTGAAGTATCTACCACGAGTGAGCGCCACCGATGAAGCTGAATGGGTAGATACATGTGAGAACACTTTGCCTTTTCGGAAGCTTCTCATTCACATTTCATCGGCATCTCACTTTCGTTATTTCTGCTGAAGCTTCGTGCACAACAAGAGCAGCTGGCTTCAAAAAACGGAAACAGGACTGTTCACTTCTGCAGATGCTATCAGTTACTTTGCCTCAGAGAGGAATGTTAGCGTGTTTCAATACATAATCATCAGCAGAAATTTATTTCGGCTGCTGCTGCCTTTCACAAACAAGCATGAGATAAGTTGAAAAACCTGAGTATCTTGCCTGTCTTCATTCAGGTGACAGTGTCTTCTGTGGGTCATTTTTCTCACTTCAGGAGATTTGAAATTATGAACTTGAAAAAGGTCCAGTGTGTAACATTTAGCAGGAATTGGCAGAAATGGCATATAATATTCATAGCTATGTATTTATTAGTCTATAATCACCTGAAAATAAGAATTATTCTATGTTTGATACCTTTTAAAGAGAAGTTTCTATCTACCACAGGTCACCATGTTTCTACAGTAGCCCAGAACGGACAAACCAAAACCTGACTTGCGGCCACAGCAGTTTCTCCCTTGTGCCTGGAAAGGGAGGGTGAAGCGAGTGAGTTGCAATCTGCAAATACACCACTAGAGGCCACTAAATGCCACACACACCGGTCCTCTAAGACGAGCATTTCATTCGTTCAGTTAGGAATCAGTGGCAAGTCTCTGTGGTGTCACTTTTATCTCAACCTGGATAAAGATTAGCTGAAGTTCGTCTTGCGCAGGTGTCTGTTGGGGATTTCTATAGCGCTCACTTGTAAAGGCCAGGAGCCGCCCATGATGCCAGCCTGGATGGCCACACCTGTAACCACAGCCAGGTCAGGGTCTACCGATGTGTTGGGCTCCTTCCCGAAGTACTCGCTGATCAGCCTCCTGATCCGCGGTATCCTGGTGGACCCTCCGACCAGAACGATCTCATCCACGTCCTCTTTCCCCAGGTGGCCCTCGGTTAGCACGGTCTCAACGGGAGCTAGGATCTTCTGGAAAAGGGCTTCGTTGAGCTCCTCGAACAGCTTGCGAGTGATCACAGCCCGGAAGAGAACCGGAGCGGGAGCAGAGCCTTCGGGAGACTCGGAGCCGGTGCTTGTGCGGAGGTGCAGGGGCACACTGATGGTGGCGCTGGGTTGGAGGGTGAGGTTGAGCTTGGCGGCCTCCACGGCCTGTCGGAGGCGGTGGATGTCCTCTTTGAGAGTGGGTGGGACGCCAAACTCCTGTCGGACCCGCTCTGTGGTGTACTGGAGCAACCTCTGGCTGAAGTCTTGTCCTCCCAGCTTGTTATTCCCTGCCGAAAAAACACAGCCCACTTCAAGATCAGGCCACTGTTACTCCAGCAACAACGAATTTAGAAGAAAAACAAACGCTGCTTTGATAAGTTTCAGACTAAAGACGCCAGAAATAAACCAGATTATTATCTGAGCGGATATCAGACACCCACTCTTTCTGTGAAACGGGGTGAATGCAGGTGAGTGTTCAGCCCACGTAGTATTCAACTGATCCACTTCAACCATCAGAGTAAAATTATAATGCGAGCCTTTAACTGGAACATGAAGGAACGGTGACGCTTCTTTTTCAGTGGGCTCATATCACCTCCTATCTCGTGTTACCGAAGCAGTGAAACACTTTACCTGCCATGGCTCTGGTGAGGAACATGCCTCCCTGTTTGTTGAGCAGAGAAACGTCCAGGGTTCCTCCCCCGAGATCGACCACCAGCACGTTGAACACATCCACCTTGTGCAGGCCGTAGGCCATGGCTGCAGCCGTGGGCTCGTTGATCACACGCAGGATCTCCAGGCCTGCAAGACAAAGGAAAGCATGCACACTATATGGTAGCTATATGACTAATGCAGAGCGTGGAGCTTGTATATTTAATGCTTTTGGCGAAGAAAGGCCATTATAGATCTTAAAAGTTGAAGTATACCAGTAGCAGGACGTGTCGGCAAATGTTAGTGTTACCTCAAATTTAACTTATTATCCAAACATGGAAATTAATTTGGTCACAGGTGCAAAAAATACACAAAAACAGCCCAAACAAACACCCAAAGGCCATCCAAAGAGGGAACTGACCGGCGAGGTTTGCGGCCCTGACGGTGTAGTTCCTCTGTCTCTCGTCAAACTCTGCGGGCACTGAGATGACAGCTTTCTGGATGGGAACACCCAGCTGTCGCTCGGCCATCTTCCTCATCTTCAGCAGCAGCCTGGAGCCGATGAATTCTGGGCTCACAGTGAAGGTGTGGTTGGTGGTCACCAGGAACTCTGCACTTCCATTATTGTTAATCACCTGCAAGAGAGGGCAAAGGAACAGTGTGGGCGAGGAGGGAGGGATTACACAAATGTTCGGTTCTACTCCTGATCCCCTTTAAAAAGAACAAACACCCCCACTGATAATGGGTGCTGCACCAGAACCCACTTTAGTCCACAGGCAGACCCCCGACCCACCTTGAACGGGTACCGAGCGCTCTCCTGCCCCAGGAGCTCCGGCTCAAATGTCTTCCCGATGAACCTCTTGGCATCGTAGATGGTGTTCTGCGGGTTGCTGTCGGCCAGCTCCACGGCTTCGTGTCCAGCCAGCACCGCGGTGGAGGTGAATGAGACGGCGCTGGGGATGCTCTTCCTCCCCTCTTCATCCGCTATCACCTCCACCTCCCCGCTGCCCGGGTGGAAGACGCCGACAGAGCAGAAGGTGGTGCCCAGATCCAGGCCGATCACCTTGGGTTTGGGGGGCGGCAGGTACTGCTGGCCCAGGTACCCCGCCAGGAACAGGGCCAGGATGACGGAACCTGTGGCCCGGTAACAACACGGTATTACAGCTGGACCAGACCGGCTGGCTCATGTGTTAGCACGCAGTGGCCGGTTAATTAAAGCAGTACTCAACTTACCGATCATAGAAATCTCTCCGGACATCGTCACACACTGCGGCGAGGTCACCGACGGCTCAAAAGTCACAAAATGTCGGTGGAAAATGTTGAAATTTCGGTTCAATGATGTCCGGCTCTGACCACTGGATGATGCGAACTAGGAAGTTTTCAGACTGGCAACAAAATACACGTCAACGTTGCGCTCCTTCTTGTGGTTGCTGGGTAATGTAGTTTACAGTATACACCGTCGACGGCCTGGACAGCGCGGCAGATGTGAGCTTTGTACTACACTTCCCGTCGACCCTAGCGACACGCAACGTAAAACGAAGGTATCGCAACGTAAAACGAAGGTATCGCGACGTTCCGTATTTCCAGCCAATCAGGGAGAGCCAGGACAGAGGAGGTTAGACGGACAAAGTGTCAAAATAAAATATTATTAAATTAAATAAAAATGAAGAGAATAATTAATTAAACTTAAACTAAAGTAGAAAATGGATTCATTTATATTTAAATCGATTATATATAATTCATGGCTATTTAGGCTGGTAGAAAAGAAATACTTGTGACTGACAAGAAATATTTGATTGTATTTCATTCTTTATTTTATTTACAAAAAGTTGTGAAAACAGTTAAATGAGTGCACACACAGACTCTCTCTCACACACTCATTTACACACACACACACACACACTTTCAGAAAATAACATTAAAATTTTTCTGTACAGCATACAAGATTTCAATATGCATTGTTTAAACCCATTGCAAAAACATCCCTTCACCTATATCACCAATAATTCATGGGGAAATAAAATTACACTGGATGTTGAGCTGAGATTGGATTTGATGACGAAGGTCAAAATGATGCAGATGTGATAAATAAAGGCGTTATATGGAAAACATTAAATGATTTAGAATGCAATAAATACACGTGACATTTAATCAAGGAAATGTCACACAAACAACAAACAACAACATAAAATAAAAAAAAATCAAGAAATCTTACAGCTTGATTATTTTCTTGATAAAGTGACAAATGGATAAGATGACATTTATAATATTTGTTGTTTGTTTCTTCCTATAGATATTACACTTTTGAAAAGCTTCTACATTAGGCAAGCTTGTGGAATAAGGGATAACAACATGACATTTGGAGAAAATGAAGGGATAATCTCCATAAGAACTCTGAATTTCAAATGTCAAAGTGTCCATCTGACAAGTAATCACTTTAAGAATCCACAGTGTCTGTGAGCTGCTCCGTGTCCTCCTTGCTGTCTGAGCATTCAGACGGGATGAAGCAGCCTGAGTCTCTGGGACAATCGCTGTCTTCTTCCTGTAGACTGTGGGAGGATTTGTGCTCCTCTGCCTCCCTGACATCATCACCTGCGGTCACAAACCGAATGGAAATTTAGTCAAATGTCATAATTTTACAAGTTTCTGTTTCCAACCACATTAGAGACATTCAAATATGTGCTAAAATCTTCAGTCACTGGAAATTAACAGAACGCTGATGCTCTTTGACTTTTAAATGTTTTTTTTCTGTGATAGCAATAGCTCTGTAGATTACTTTCAGAATGAAAGCTTGTTATTGCTAAAAATACTGCGTAAACAGGGCCATGTGTTGATGGCTGACTGTGAGTGGCCAAATGACCAAAATATTGAAATAACTTGTGCAGGTGTGACCCAGCAGAAAACATGTCTTCTTTTTTTTAGATACATCTCAAAATGTCCTCTTTAATATTTCTACCTCCCTGATGGAAGTTACTAATCCTCATGTCCAGGTTGCCAAACCACTAACCTAATGGAGTTCAGCTTGATTAAATTACTGGCATCTCGTGTGACTCAACAGGCTTGGCAGGGTCATGTTGCAGCCGCTGCCATCTGTTTTAGTCACACTGCCACCCAAACAGAAAAAATGTTTACCTTTAATTTGCCTTGTGCACGGCTGCAGTAAAACAGGCTAAACAAAACTAGCTGATGAATGTTGTTTCCTCTTCGCACTGGAAAGCAGTTTTGTTTTTATTCATGCAGGATCTGAGATAATCAGCCTTCTGCTTCAAGACATCAGCTTACTGGAACACCTTTTGCCCCATTAAGCACTTTCTATCTGAGTAACAGGAAGTCACTGTTAAGCCTCTCATAGCACGCAGGATGTATTTCTATTTCGTGTGGCACAAATGTCTCAGCTTTCACCTGCTTTTGTACATTATTTCCAACAAAATCGGTGATGAGCATAAATGAGTGACACACTTTGCTCTGTATTTATTTATGTTGAACTGTATACTTTGTTTCAGCTGAATAAAGTACTTTTCTGAAACACAGTTTTCATACACTGTAGGTGTTACACAGTTAACAAAATTACTCGTTTAATCATAATTACTACCATTATATTTTTACTATTACTTTTTTACAATACTGACTTGATTTACTCGGAGAATGTGCACCTTGTGACCGCTGGTTGGAAGTTGGAAGGCTGCAATACCAGATTTGTGCACATTTCAGTGCCAAAACTTCAAGGAGACTGTCTTCCTTTTTGATATTTTGCCTTTATTGGGTATTGACACTGGTTATGCACAGCCATGACACCATGACACAATTAAACTGGTTTTATTTAGCAGGTGATTGCTGGTTACAGGAAACTACTAATATAGATAATTTATGAGAAATATTTTGTGTGAAATGATAACTCCTGTCAGTGAGGGCTGGGGCCCTTGAAGAGAATGAAGCCATCTTTAATGTTATTAGTTATACTTGTGCTTTTCCTACTATGACAAGTCAAAACGTCTGCTTGTACGCACAGCCAGGCATTAACATCTCTACACTTTTATCAGGTTTTTAGTTGGCCCTATTTAATCATTTAATTATACAGTCATTAGTGATCTGTAAAAGTAAGCGTTGTTACTTTTAAGTCATGTTATGTTGCTAACCTTCTGTGTAGCGATATTCAGCAGCAGCGAGAAGCTTGCGCCTGTGCTCGGGGTCATTGACGTTCAGCTCAACCAGGTGTTTCTCCTGCAGGTGCAACAGGTCCTCCACCGTCTGGTAGCCGTTTAGCAGCAAGGCGGAGGCGTACTCCTGCAATAACATCTTCATTAGCATCAACACACACACAGCCAAAAAACCCCAGCTGTTATCAAGTTTCAGATTATGTGTGGTACAAAGTGTTTACAGAGTTGTGGTACTGGTTTCATACTGGAGATAACAAAGAGTTGATAATGTCAGGTCCTTTACCTACGTACATCTTTGAGGTTGAGATGTGAAAGTATAGCATGCATGTTTTAACCTCCCTGGAGTATAAGATGAAGTTTACAGCATCAAAGGAGTTTCTACTCCTCGTGTAAGATGCCAAACAGAAGAGTTAACTGTACACCCTTTTAGCTGCTTTCTTGTTATGATTGTAACAGGTGAGTGACTCCAGGGGAGTCGATCTCTTCCTCACCTCGAGATTCAGTCGCTCCAGTAACTCCAGCAGTGTTTTAGGTCGAGGTCTCTTGCACAGCTTCTGTTGTCTGATCTTGGGAGCCTCCTCTTCTTCCTCTTTCTCCACCAAAACGTCCACATAGATGAACTTGAAGTTGCCCACTTTGTTGTTCAGCATGCCTGTCCAGATGCCCATTGGAGGCTTACTGATGATGTTGATAATGTCACCAACCTGGGAAAATAATAATAGTGAGTGTAAAGAATCATGAAGATAGCTTTTATCTCATTTACATCAGGGCCTTAGTGGAGACTGCAGCACAGTACGCAAACAGTGCTCCATCTTACCTTGAGTTTGAGAGAATCTGTGTCATACGGGCTGGGGACAAAGTCTGTGTGGACGCGAGCTCTGCCACAGAACTGTCCCTGATAGGGGCAGTCCTCCTCCAGCCTCAGACTGTCTCTCTGACCGGAACCATTGGACTCACTGGTCACACCACCTGAACCCACAAACACAACACAACACACTGTGATTACAGTGCAAAGGTTCATTCACATGGATCAGCTGACTTCCAAACTATTTTTTTTGTGCATTTAGTTCTATCCCATGGAGCATTTATTCACTGTATGGGCCAAAACAACTCAGTAATCTTTGGTCCAGCCTTGAAGTGTACGCATTATGTACATTTTACCTTTATATATATATATTCTTAATATATTATATGTTCTGGAGTATGTAACAAAAGTAATTTCCCCCTGGGATTATTAAAGTATTTCTGATTCTGATTCTGATTATGTGCAGATGCTTACTAGAGGAGCTCTGTCCACTGTAGAGACTCTCTAAAGAGTTGCTTGTTTTTGCAGAGTTTTTCTCAGCCGGAGGGCCACCCTCTGTCTCTGCCTCTGGGTCTTTGTCCGTGTCATCACCCTTGGAGGGAAAATATATGGAATTTTAAATGAGAGACATCATAAAAAACAGACAAAACTTATAATCATAGATGAAATGTACAAACTCCAGTAAACTGATCACACAAGTCCAAATGAAAGTAAACGACAAGAAGGAAACTAAAACCGACAGATTCAGGTAGGGATGTAGGCTGTGAAAGTTACACAGCTAGTCAAAGGTTTCAACCTATCTCTCCATCTGTGTTACAATAAATCACAAAACTGCAACAAGACACTTTCTGTCAGAGCGAAGCTTGTCAGATATTGACAGCACCAGCGTCATATTTGAGGATGTGGGTTCATCAGAGATGAGAGTGATAACACTGCCGAGAAAAACAGCACAGCTTTGATGTAACTGGGGCTGGTTTCTGGCAATTTTATTATTGTCAGTAATCTGTACCCTTGAATTATCGTTTTAAATAAACTCTTGTAGCTGATAGTAATTAAATAAGAGGTGGAGGCTGTGTGTGTGTATGAGTGTGTGTGTGTCTGTTTTCCATGAACTCACTGTCTCCTCAGAAAAAGACTTGGCGTGTTTTTTGCCCATTTTTCTGCGCATGGTCAGTGAAATTGCCTTCATCTTCTTCCCAAGTGAGGCAGATTTGTTTGGGTCCAGACTCTCACACTCTTCTGTGAGCTGTGTAAAGAAAGGTGGTTTAGTACATATAGCACTGTGATATTAAAGGCAGTAGATTTAGAACTCGGCTCATGTTTCTCCTCACTTTTTGTCCCAACAACTTCTACGTTTGCTCCATAAACATAGAGCAAAATTCATCGCTTCCTGTGTAGCAAAGGGTTTTTCCCAGAATGAAGCTTATTTTCCATTGTCATATCTTATATAATAGATAAATACAAAGCACCTTGCAGCACAGTGGTTGCAAATATTTGGAAATATTCATATATTTAGCTCTCCAAATGTAAATGATTTTGTCCAATGACTTTAAATGACTACTTGGTATGTTATTGGTCATTATCTGCTAGCATTCTTGCTACTATATGACATTTGTTATCATAATGCATATAAAAATCAAATAAAAACAAACCATAGTTGTTCCATTTTCCTCGGGTTTGGCTAGTGAAGAGTGATGTCTGAGACCTTCAAACCTGCCGAAGCTGGTAGAGCGCTGTGGGGAGGGTTAAAAGACAGAGACAAAGGATGTCATAGAGACCAGTGGCACCTGGTTTAATAGCATTACATAACATCAAGTCATTGTACTTGTGAGTCCTTGTCCCAGCTGTTTTAAAGATCCTTAAAAAAAAATCTGCTGCATCTTCACTCTATGACCCGAGTGGACCTCAGTGATGAAATAGGGTAGAAGTTTTCCAGTAGATGCAGCTGTCTGTTTCTACTTTATATACTGTCTATTCAGGAAAGGACAAATACAGCAAATATTTCTGTGAGTGTTTCGAAATGAGAGCTTGTAAAATATGTGATACGGTTGTGGTCATGTGTGGTAGTTCAGTGGCAGCAGAGAGAATATGTGTCTCCATACAGGAGCACCAAAATACGTGAATGAAACTGTTGTGTCCTCACGACACTGGTGACATGCACGGTGGCTTTATTCTGGCTCAGTTTTAATTCTTCCCCCTTTTTTTCTCCAATTTTTCATAAAACTGAAAGTCATTATAATCTCTCCCAGCTCCCCATCATCTCCACGTCAGAGCACAAAAATAATTATATAAATGAATAATCCCTGAAAATCCTGGTTAAATATGAGCGCCATACTCCTAGACAGCCCTCTGGGGATTGATTTAATGCAATGTCGTCCGCCAGGCCCATATTTTTTTCCACTGTCTGCAAAAATACAGCAGCAGAATTTAATTTAAAAGTAAAATTTTCCTCCTGTTTTAGCTTTTGTGTTATTATATTGTTTGTATTTTGTTGTCGTTGTTTGTCTGTTTTACATGATGAAGATTCTTTTGGAGAATACAGTTTGCTGTATAAATGTGAGCAAAATCATTTTATGTCAACTAGTCTTTTAGTGTTCATCTTTTAAAAGTAACATTTCTAAATTTTCAATTTTCAGTGTTTATCCAAACAATGTTATATATTAACATAGCTGTCTCCCTCTTTTTCACTCAGTAGTTATTTTAGAAGTGGCTATGTCAAAAGTCACATTGGACAATTAATGTCTTGCCTCACCAGCTCACAGTATAATATTTTATATTTCCTTTAGATTTTCACCTACCTTTGGCTTGCTGCTCTTCACTTTGTCTGACACATTGGAGGCTGTCCTCTGTAACATTTTCTTCTGTTTTAAGGTTATTGTCAAATTTCAGTCCTTGCTTTTCTCTCGTCTTTACCCCGCTCTACCAACAGTGAAGTGTTAACTTGCACAGAGGCTGCCTGTCTGATGGACTGACTAGCCCACTTCCTTACGACACACAGGATGTGAGGCAATTGGCATTGTGTCTCTTGAAGCAGAATCGCTTTCAAAGGGGAAAATACAAGTGCTTAAGTGTGCATTTTGTGGCCTGCTCACAAAAACAATGAGAACCACTTCCAGGAACGGCTGCATGTAGGTTTTATAATTGTGGTATCTGTTATTTAGAAGATAAGAGATATCCTGGTGAGGATGAACTTGCGTCATATCTGCTACTGTGTACTGTGGTTTATCTGCTCAGAGTTGAACAGCTATGACACTTCAATATAATACAATAGAAAGACAACATGTTAAATGTTAAAAAGTCTGATATTCCTCAAAAGTGTTATTTATTAGCAAAGAGGAACTTGGTTGTGGTAAATGATGCTGCAGTAATTATTCGTATGTCTTTCTTAATGTGGGGTGAATACTTTTGAGGAAGTGCTGATGTATGACAGAGGAACAGCTGAAACTTTGCTGTGTCGAAACACTTTCCGTTTTATCTCTGTTCTCAATATGGAAGCAAATACATTTCATTTTATGTCTTAGAAACTCTTCACTGTCAAATGGGATAGGTCGGAAGTAGATTTTTGTTTATTTATAAGGGTTAAAAATCCCCAAATCGCCCCCTGTAACCTTCTTCCAAAACATGGCCCCTCTGAATCTAAGAGTTTGAGGCAGTAGTTGGACACACAGGATCCTATATTGCTGCCAGTCATTGCTGTGATGTTGCCATGTGGGGATTTGCCACTGTGTTTGTGTCATTGCGGGAGCTTTCAATCAGTCAGCTGAAGAAAAGGGAATTCTACAGACAAAACCGTTGACTAATCCCACAGCTTGCAATCAGCCTTGTACAAAGAGAAAGTCTTAACTTCTATGCCACCTCTGGCTCCACTCTTCAGAGGCTTCATGTCCAATGAAATGACATTTTATCTCTAAGAACCAATGACACTATAGATCCATAGGGATCTTGTAATCTCTACGCCGGATCATCCTTTTCATCTTGGACAATTTTCATCTATTTTCTCCCAAGTCATGTTAAGCTTTGTGTCACACAGGACACCACTGCACGTGCTCACTGGGTATCAGCAGAGGTCTTAAGCTGAGAGATGTCAAGTGCACACAAAGACACTGACTTTTAAGGTCAATCTGCACCCTTGTGTGGTATTAACCCTGTGAACATTGAACTTGCCATATTAAACAGAAACTGAAAGGATCCAAATAGGAGAGACTGAGATTCATTTAGAAAAGAATTGCCAGCTGCATCCCACAAATGTATCCTTCAGGAGGCCTGATAACATGGACCTGCCACTGGTTCTGTGGGGTTTAGTGAAATTATGATACCAAAACATATTCATGTTGTGGTAAAGTATTGTTTAAGACCCATTAAAGGACAGTGTGATAGCATGGGGACACAAAGGCATCACAAAGGCGAGCAATGTTAAGGTTACTTTAAGCACGATACTGTAAAACTAAAGTCTGAAGGGTAAATGTGCATGATGCAATAAAAGTTAAGCATCAGACAGAAGCTGTCAGTACTGACCCAGAGCATAATTAGACTAGTTCAAGGACTAACTAATGGTTTCGAAAACATATATCCACCGGCAGAAACTTACATCTGATTCTGATAGATCCACATCTGTGATAGATCGCGGCACCTTTGGGGGAATCTCGGTTTTACAGTCCCGTTTCAAGCTCCCATCCTGGGCCGTCCCTTGCTGCTGTCTTCCCTCCCACTCCTTCCCATGGGGTGTGGCAAAGTCATGGGAGTACACTCGATATTCTGTGAGGGGCCTGCGGCACGTGTGCTGGATGGTCCCCCAGGCAGGGCTGCTGTCACCTGGGCTGCTCCATCTCTGGTGGTGGGTGGGCGTCGCTCCACCAGGGAGGGTGATCATGTCTGAGCATCGGCCTGGCGTTGTGTTCTCCTGAGCGGGGAGGGTGGAGGATTTGCCCAGGTATGGCCTCCTGTTTGACCTGTATGGCACTTCCAGATAGTGGGGTCCCATGGGTGGGCTCACAGCACATGGCGGGGAGTGCACTGAGAGAAATAAAAGAAGAAAATATAAATAAAAAACCCATTTGTCATCTTTCTGAGACTGGGGAAGTCTTATTGAACCTTTTTAACCTTAACTGCAATCAGGCTTCTGCGTCATGTTGAGGTGTTGCTGCAGCAGAACAGTTCATTACGGCAGAGAATGATTCATAGTTCTGTATTCTGGCCATTGACTGTTGTAACACCTCCACAAAGCGTCTGTTCAGTCTCTTTAAACATTTATTTCACAATAGGCCAGGCAACAAATACAATGAAGAGACATTTGGCAGTGAAAATGGCTTCGCTAGATTGAGAAAACACTTTACAAATTGAAGCAGCACCGGAAAGAGAGTAGGATGAAACAGACGAACAGACCAGTCAGAGTTCTTGCGGTCTCAACCTTTAACTTTGTACCTCTAATCTGTAGCTTGAGCGGATGTTTGTGTGCTATAAAGCAGCCCTCTGCGTACCTATACTGTTGGGATGTCACAGACACCTACAATGAATGTGTTGCAACACTCGAAAGCAGAAGTATAATTCAGAATTAATCAGAACTAGAGTTACAACATTGTGATAAATGCTGCATTTGCTATTATAAGCACAAGTTGTCATGCTGGGTCACCGAGTCATATAGACGTTAGAGAGGTAAGAGAGGTCAGTTTGAGATAGGGAGTAGGGGGGATTTTGCTGTTGTTGTGGAAAGCGGTCTCACCTGTGGAGCTGTGATTTTTCTTTGACCCTTCTTTCCCACTCTTTCCAGCTGCTTTCTTTCCGGGTTTTTGGATTCTTTTCACAGGTTTAGACTCTGTCGCCGCACCGTTGGCATGGACACTCTGGAAAGATGCACAGCACAACACATGAATACTTTAATGCCTTAATCTCTAAAATGTGACACCTCTTCTAATTTCTCAATAAAACATTAATAAATCCTTTATAAAGAGTCTACTCTAGTCCATCATATCACACAGCTCAGTTTTAGCCCTGCTAGAGGCATAGCTCATGTTGGTTGCTTCGTCATTTGCCACTAGTTTTTGTACAGACCTTTATGGTCCCCAGGGGATGAATCCTTTTGACCACAACCTCTGACTTTCAAGCTATTGCCATTATGAGGTTGAATGGAGTGCCATGAAATTTCATTACAGGCATTTTCATCTTTTCATCTAGTGCTATCATTAGGTTCAAACTTTTATTTGTCCAGTACTTTGGTCTATAACCAAATACCACATAGCCTAATAAAAATCACACCACATGGTATAGTACAGTATACCTGCTTTACACCTGCATGCCATCATTGACATTTGGGCTTTTGCATGCTGATTTTAGATTTAACCTAAAGCACTGCTGTGCCTCACAGAGCCACTAGCATGGCTGTGTTTTTGGTGGTTGTTTATATAAAAAACTTACACAGTATCTTTTACCAAATCCCATTTGGGTCACTGGTACTTTTAGCACTCTGTGAGGTACTGAGAGCTGCTGCTGATCCAATACTGGCACGCTCTGTTTTGTTTGCTTCTCACTATGATGGGCATTAGCCAGAATGGGCACTGTGTGACCTGGCATGAGGCCTCTAAACCCTCCCCACCCCAAACACACAGACAGCCCTCTTGCTTTCACATATCTGTCTGCCATGTGGCCCGGAGATTACACAGGGAGCAGTACCCTCTTTGGACCATCTGTACTGTATTAAAACCCAATCAGCATTTGTGTTAAATGATTGTGCCATTTAGGCCACCAGAGGCTCCCTGAATACTACAAGCAGGTGGCAGCTTGAAATTCCTAAGTTGACACAAAATGCACTTGTCCACATCTACTGGTAGAGAACAGGTTCATTTTAATGCTGCTCAAACATCAGGCTAGACACTGATCTGTGATGTACAATGATATTATTTAGTGCTGTATTAATAACAAAGATATAAGGGGCATAACAGGTTCATGCACCTCCACCTACCAGCTCTTTGTGGTTGCTGCTACATATACTGTTAATTATATTTCTATGTTGCCTACATCATATCATAGAAAAACAAGTTCCAAAAGCATGAAAATATTTGGTGTAACACTGCATTAGTTTTGCATGATTGCAACATGTTTGCATGAGATTCGTAACAAGTGAAGCTGGCTGAAATAACTGCAGGGAAGCTTTTTATTCTAACCTGGCTTGAGAGTGGTTTCTCCTTTTTCTTTGTGCCAGAATGATGAGCTCCTTTCCCTTCTTTGGTTTCTGTTCTGTGTTTAGTCTTCCTCGTCTCTATGGGGACACAACATAATTACAATATACAGAATATGTCATCAGGTTAAACACTCCAATGAGAGGTCATTCAGGAAGCGGAATTATTTATGTATTTCTCTATGGGATCAAAGGACAGGGATTAAAGGACAGGTTCACAGTTCAAGTATATCTTAAAACAATAGTCATGTGCCCATATGGACAATGAAACAGGTTTTGTTTGCTGTAATCAAAGACAAAATAAAGTTCTTTCTGTGTAAAAAATGTATTGTCAAAGTTTATCCAATCTACCACTGCTTTGTGTTTAACATTGTATACAATCATTGTAGCCCTGTGTATCATTACTCAATAGTTTGGGGTACAATTTCGGTGGTGAATTGGATGAAAAGTCCAGCCCACCTCTTCGGACGTCATGCTGAGAGTCTAAATGAATGCTGGCATATAAATGAGCTTAAGATATTTATTTCCCATTTACCTTCATTGTGATTGTTGGTGATGTGGACTAAATCTTCTCGGCTCTTGGCGGGTTGCCAAACAGCAGTATTACAGCCGGGGTTATCTGCCACGAAGGGAGACAAATCCCAACATTGAGGATTTTAAGTCAACGAAGGCCACAGAGACATCAGACTGAATAAAATTGTTTTCTGAGTCACAGACAGGCAGTCTTGTAGATTATTGGTGGTTTAAATCTAAATAATAGACTTTTTTCTTAGCAGGTTTCGAAAAGGTAAATTATTCTGCTGTAGTCTTCCTGAGGGTTCATGATAC